CTTCGGGCGGCATGGCTCGCGCCGCATGCAGCAGCAGCAGCAGCAGCAGCAGCAGCAGCAGCGGGAGGACCAGCAGCAGCTGAGGCAACTGGTTGACTAGCAGCAGCAATAAGCACACCAGACTCTCGCTGCAGCGCTCTTTGAGGCGACAGCAGCACGAATAACGAATATATTTTCATCAGCAGCTGCAACAGCACCAGCAACGAGAGCAGTAGCAGCAGCAACTACCTCCGTCTCGCTCCTGTGCTTGTAGGCTTCCTCCATTGACCCCTAGAGGCTGCCTGTAGCCTTTCTCTCCCGAGCACATCTCAAAATCTTTGCTTCAACTACTCATTTACATATTTCTGTCGCTGCTGCTGCCGCTGCTTGCCCCCGCTGCTCCTCCTGCTGCTGCTCCCGTTGCTGTTCCCGCTGCTGCTCCCGTTGCTGCTCCCGCTGCTGCTCCCACTGCTGCTGCCGCGGCCACTGCTGCTGCTGCTTCGGCAGCAACAACTACAGACGTCTTAGAGAGGAGTTGGTGGGTATCATCTGGGCGGCCCTGGAGCAGTTGCTGCTGCTGCACCAGGAGTATTAGCCCTCGCGGCGGCAGCAGCGACAGCAACAGAAACAGCAGCAGCAACATTTACAGCAGCATTAGCAGCAGCAGACTCGGCGGTGGCAATGCCTGTCTTCGGTGCTGCGTCCTCGTTCTCTTTATTCCAGGTTCGACTAGCAGCTGTCCCTACAGCTGCTGCATTAGCGGCATCAACCGCAGCAGCAGCAGCAACGGCAGCAGTGACAGCAGCAGCAGCAGCAACAGCAGCAGCAGCAGCAGCAGCAAGGAGGCCTATGTTTGTTTCTGTGGAGAGGGTTGGTTGAGGGACCGTGTGCAGATTCCGTCTGTCTTTTTTTCTTTTGTTTTTTCTCGCGTCTCTCCCCCCCGCCCGCCGAGCCGCTGCAGCGTCTTCCGCAGGAGCCGCAGCAGCAGCAGCAGTAGCAGTAGCAGCACTAGCAGCAGTAGCAGCAGCAGCAGCAGCAGCAGCATTAGAAGCAGCAGCAGGAGCAGCATTAGCAGCACGTTCAGTGACACTAGCTCCATCACATCGAGCCGCACTATCACCACGAGCACCACCAGCATCAGCAGCAGCAACAGCAGCAGCAGCAGCAGCAGCAGCAGCATCCTTTCTTCCTCCCCTCTCTCCCCCTGAACACCATAACCACCGTAATTATCACCAGCAGCACCACCATCATCCTCAGCACCATCATCAGCAGCAGCAGCATCACCACCTTAACAACAACACCAAAAAAAAAAGAAAAACTAGAATAAAAAGGAGAAGTAAAACGTCTGCAAGGTGAGAGGAGATGGGGTTGTGGGCGCGGCTGTGCCCGCGCGTGTGCGGGGCCGAGTGGCCCGTGCAGCTGCTGTGGGTGGCGCTGGAGCGGCTGGGTATTGAGCGGTGGGCGGTGAAGTTTGAGGAGGGTTCAGCGCAGCAGAAGCGTTTAGGAAACTTGGTGGTTCGAACGCATGCAGCAGCAGCAGCAGCAGCAGCAGCAGCTGCGCAGCAGCAGCAAGAAGAAGAAGAAGAAGAAGAACAAACAGAAGACAAGAACAAAAAGAAAAAGAAGAAACACACAAAGCAGCAGCAGCAGCAGCAACCTGATTGCCCGGCCAACGCTGCTCTAGGCCTACACAGCTGGACGAACTGTGTACGCACAACGCAGTATACTTGGTGGAGTTTCTTGCCGCTGAATTTGCTTTCTCAGATAACCCAGCCGGCGAACTTTTATTTTTTAATTATGGCTGTGTTGCAGATGATACCCCAAATAAGTGACAGCGACGGGATGCCTACGTTTCTGTTTCCTCTTTGTTTAGTTATGGTGATTACTGCAGCAAAAGATGGATATGAAAACCTCAGTAGAGCGAGAGCTGATAGACTTGAAAACGAGAGACGTTGCAGTGTATGTACACCCCAGGGACTTATCACCGTAGCCTGGGCTGATCTCACACCCGGCAGTATTGTTAAACTTGCTGCTGATGAAGCTGTTCCTGCTGACCTCGTTCTTCTCAACTGTGCTGACCCCTGCGGCGTTGCTTACGTTGATAGTCTACAGCTCGATGGAGAAACTAACCTAAAAAATAAAATGTGTATTCCGCCGGTTGCTGCACTCGTACAGAATGATGCAGATGCTGCTGCCATCAAGTGTACGTACACCGCAACACAAATATATATATATATATATATATATATATATATATATATATATATATATATATATATATATAT